CCCCCTGCCCTGGGCAGCCCATTCCAACGCCCAACAGCCCCTTCTGCACAGAAATCCTTCCTCAGAGCCAGCCTGACCCTGCCCTGGGCAGCTTGAGGCCATTCCCTCGGGGCCTGGCGCTGGGGCCTTGGCTCCAGAGACTCATCCCCCCTCTCTGCCCCCTCCTGGCAGGGACTTGCCGAGGGCCAGGAGGTCTCCCCTCAGCCTCCTCTTCTCCAGACTGAACCCCCCCAGTTCCCCCAGCCGCTCCCCAGCAGACCTGTGCTCTAGACCCTGCCCCAGCTCCGTTGCCCTTCTCTGGCCACACTCGAGTCATTCAATGGCCTTTTTGGGGTGACGGGCCCAGAACTGAACCCAGGAATCGAGGGGCGGCCTCACCAGTGGTCAGACCCCTTCCCTGTCCCTGCTGGCCACGCTGTGGCTGACACAAGCCCCCGTCTCCGCAGGGGAATGCCGGTGGCTTGGCTGGAGAAGACAATGTGGAGCCTGGGGCTGGAGGTGTACCAGCAGCCCTTCGCCCGCACCCTGCCCTTCCCCGACGAGACCCGCGAGCGATACGTGAGGCCCAATCCCCACCCCCAAATCCAAAACCTATAAAACAGTTAAAAGTTGAGACCCAGTACAAAAGCGGGTGCCTTCATCCCCACTTTTTTTGCCGTAGCTCAGAAAGACTCACACAGGTGTTAAGAAACTTCATTTTTTTATAGTTCCCAGTTTTACAAGATATTTAAGGTGTAATATACACAGCAGCTTTCTCACTTTCCCCTCCCAGCTTTAGGGCAGGCAGAATTCCTTTCTATAACCCATCATTTTGCAACAAACACGAAATACTAGTGTACTACCATCATTTCAGAAGGGTCAAATTTTGTTGGCTTTTCTCACATGATTACTCCCAAAGGCTTCTAAAAGAGTATTTCATGAAAAATTTTTTCACTCCGTCTACCAAAATGCTAGCAGTGCCTATAAGAATCAACGTTCAGCAGGTGTGTAGCAAGATGGGGGGAAAAAAAGGAAAAAAAGAAAAAAAATTCCATGCTGCAGCACAGTATGATTACAGACAGGAAGCAATTTATATTAGCAGAAAATTAATCAAGCAAAGACCCCCCTGTAACCCTAAGTCTTCCTTGTTTCCTGGCAGATGGTGAAGGGCACCAACGTGTACGGGATCCTGCGGGCCCCCCGCGCCGCCAGCACAGAGTCGCTGGTGCTGAGTGTTCCCTGCACCGAGGGGCCCCACAACAACCAGGCCGTGGGGCTCATGCTGGCCCTCGCCGCCTACTTCCGAGGTCAGTCCCCAGGGCAGGGGCACGGGGGGGGTTTCAGTGCCCCCTCCTGCAGCCCGATGCTGTTTTGGGGGTTCTGAGGTTGGGGAGTGATGCCTGAGGGGGGGTTTCAGGGGTGATGAGTGTCCATGCTACTGGGCAGGGCCCTGCCTGTGGGAATGGGAGGGGTGGGAATGATGGGGGCCCTGGATTTTATTTGGGATGGATTGGCAGGGACTGGGCCGTGTTGGGGCAGGGACTGGGCTCTGTTGGGACGTGGACTGGGCCGGGCTGGTGCAGGGGCTGGGCTGCGCTGGGGCAGGGATTGGGCCATGCTGGGGCACGGACTGGGCTCTGTTGGGGCAGGGACTGTGCCGGGCTGGGTCTGGGCTCTGTTGGGGCAGGGACTGGGCCGTGCTGGGACTGGGCTCTGTTGGGGCAGGGACTGTGCCGGGCTGGGACTCAGGCTAGGCCGGGCTGGGGCAGGGACTGGGCCGTGTTGGGACTCGGGCTGGACTGTGCTGGGGCAGGGACTGGGCTGCGCTGGGGCAGGGACTGGGCTTTGTTGGGCCAGGGACTTTGCAGGGGCCAGTCCAGGCTGTGCCGGGGCAGGGACTGGGCTCTTCTGAGCCTTCCCAGGGCTGTTCGGGCTCTGCCAGAGCTGCTCCGTTGCTCCTGCGTCCTCCCCCCGTTCCCTTTAGGCCAGATCTACTGGGCCAAGGACATCATCTTCCTGGTGAACGAGCACGACCTGCTGGGCATGGAGGCCTGGCTGGAGGCCTACCATGATGTCAATGTCACCGGTGAGGCGGGGGCCTGGGGGTGACCTTCGTGGTGGCACCGTCCCGGTGTGACTGTCCCGGTGTGACCGTCCCTCTGCCCGCAGAGGTTCGTTCCTCGGGGACGCTGGGCCGGGCGGGTGCCATCCAGGCGGCGATTTCACTGGAGCTGAGCAGTGACGTGGTGACCAGCTTCGACGTGGCGGTGGAGGGGCTGAACGGGCAGCTGCCCAACCTCGATCTCCTCAACCTCTTCCATGCCTTCTGCCAGAAAAACGGGCTGCTCTGCACCATCCAGGGCAAGGTGAGTCACTCGTGGGGCTGGACGGTGGCCACCGGCATCCCCGGCTGGTGTCGGAGGGCGCGTGGCCAGCAGGGCTCGGGCAGGGCTCGTCCCCCTCGAATCCCGGCTTCGGTTCTGGGCCCCTCGCTCTGGGAAAGACACGGAGGGGCTGGAGCACGTCCCAGGGGCAGCGCAGCTGGGGAAGGGGCTGGAGCACAAGTCCTGGGAGGGGGGAGCTGGGGGGGCTCAGCCTGGGGAAAAGGGGGCTCAGGGGAGGCCTCGTTGCTCTCTGCAGCTGCCCCCGAGGAGCTGGGGGCGAGGAGGGGTCGGTCGCTTCTCCCCCGGGAGCGCCGAGACGGGAGGAACCGGCCTGACGTTGCGCCGCCGGGGGAGGTTTAGGGGGGATGTTGGGAACAATTTCTCCAGCAAAAGGGTCGTCGAGTGCGGAACCGGCCGCCCAGGGCAGCGG